TCTTCACTGAGCCATAATCACCTACAGTAAGGGATGAGAACCAACGTTTGTCTGAAGCAACGTGCGCTGATGCTGCAGTGTCTACTACCCACTAGTCTATAGATATGTTCCTCTGAACACAAGCCAGAAACTTTTCAATTCGTTATTCTTCTGTTACAATATTTGCAGTATTGTTCCCCTTCTCAAAATCTTCTTTGAACTTCCTACAAAAACGTTTCACGGGTCCCTTCTTGTGGCAGTAAAAACACTCAACTTCCCCACTAGAACTCCCATTACCCCTGCTATATCTCTGGTGCTGCTTCCCATTGTAATTCATCTTTGCCTTCCCTTTGTTCTGAGTTACCAATGCTGATTCACCCCTGTTTTCTACCCCTGAAATAGATGTAGACATTTTCCCTAATTTTCTCCGGGCTTCCTCAAATAAGGTGGCATCACAAATAGTTGAAAATTTTAAGCTATTTTCCGCTAGCGAATTCGACACTACGGTCTTCATCGTCTTTGAACTGTCAGGCAAAGATGTCAACAGCCTTATAGCTTTCACCTCCTTTTCAATCTTGACACCCATCCCTTCTAATTTTTTCAAGATATCGATGAGCTCATTAATGTGGGAATTCACCGAGGTTCCCTCCTCCATGTGGATATTAAAATACTTCATCCATAGAAGTATTTTTGTATTGGCTGAAGTTTTTCATACATGTCTTGCAAGGTCTTCAACAATTCCTTCATTGTAGTCTCTTTCGCCACCAGACTACAAACATTCATCGATAACGACATTCTGATGTTCGTAACGGCCTGCTCATTCATCTCATTCCAATCCTTGTCCGTCATCCCTACTGGTCTCTCCCCTAAAGTCTTGTGTATCTTCCTGCACGTAAGAAGATCCTTTACCTGCATCTTCCAAAAACTGAAATTCTCCTTGGTGAACTTCAAAACCCCTTCATAATAATGGTGTGCGTGATATTTGTCTCCCATGATACTGTAACCGTACAGATACCACTTGTTGGGAAATTAACGGTCCTGTATAATTTCCCCTTTCATAGAAAATATTCACACACAACCACAATTTGCAAATAAGGAAGAAAACTGTAAAGAACAAGAAAACGATACATCAAAATTATATTGATTCACCATTAAGGGCTACGTCCAGTCTTCCACTCAGATGTGGGTAATTCACTAATAATTGTTTTAGGATTGGAATACAAAACTCTCCCCAAAAGTATTCTCTAGAGATCCCAACAAAAACCCTCTAACTTCTAAGTATTTTAACAATTAATACTTAGGAACAGGAATGAAAAACTCACAATGATCAAGATACAAATACCCCAATAATGTTGATCGTGATCTGCCCCAAAGCCTCTGTCAATGCCCGAGCCGCCGCCACAAATTGCCGCCAAAATACTCCAAAAATTGGCTGCTAAAAACAAATTGGCGGCTCTTCCTTGTGTTCCACGATCACACACACCACTGACATTAGTAAAGTAATATATAGGTAGAAACTTATTTACATAAATGTCTAAATTTTTATAATTTTACACTTTTAGATTTCTGCAAGTAGGATTTTAGTTTAATTCCGAATTTACCCCTGCTTATTGCATTTTCATTTATTATAGTTTTTTGCTTTTTTGAAATATAAAATAGTTTTTTCCATAAATAAATATCACAATCCTTTAATTAATGTGGGCCCCATATTAATTGCCAATTTGAATCCCTTAATTCACTCCTTCAAATCCTTCAAAAAAAATTGATTTTCTTTATTTACCAATATTATTAATTAAAAAATATTCAAATCTCATGATCCACATTTCTTCCGATTTCTGCTACATAAAACTATAGATATAAATGATACATAAAACAATAGAACCAGAGATATAATATACGAGTATATAGTTCTGATTTCTCTGGTTCCCTGGTTCTCTGGTTCTATTTCCGTAGGATATATATTATATCTCTAATTTTATGTATTGTTCTATTTCTTTCGATTTCTTTCGATTTCTCGATATTGTTCTATTTCCGTAGGATATATATTATATCTCTAGTTTTAATTTAAACAATAGAATAAGAGAGCAAGAGATGAACCTCGATTCTGTCAAAAATTGAAACCTAAATATAACATAAACTACGGTATAATGGGAATCGACGGACTGAAATGCTCATGCGACGAAGGCCGGAGATGAAATTAGATGTTACTGTATAATGAAGCTGTCGGAGATGAAGGGAGATAGCGACGATGTTACCGTATAATGGTAACCAACAGAATGAGATGCGACGGAAGCTGGCGGTGAAATGTTCTGCAAACAAAGAAATCGGAGTCGCCGGAGATAGCGACGATGTCAGAGAAATGATCGGATGCTTCAAAGGAAGAAGAAGCCCGACAGTCGGAGCGGTCAAAGAAAATCGAGGGAGAAGAAGGAGGTTACAGAATTTTGGGGGTTTTAGGATTTTCAGTTTTGGAGAGTTGAATTAGGGATTTAATATATTTTAATAATGATTTACCAATTTGATATTTTAATAATGATTTAATATTGAGATGTATATATTAGTAATTTTTGTTATGGGTACCATCTAATTTATGAATTATTTTAGACAAAAGTGTAAATTCTATACTTTTCCATCTTTTTACGTAATTAGGACTCCTAAATAGACCATATATGTACTAATCTCTATAGGCAAAGTAAGTGTGTGAAACCAAAAACAATAAAGATAATGGGCTTTTGGCCCATTTGTTATTCACTCCTTTCTTTTTTTATTGAGATAATATCTTGCGAGAACTATTTTTAAATCTTAATTTCATAAATGTCTTTAGTTTTCAAAATTTACACTTTTAGATATTTGCATGTAGGATTTTCTGTTAATACCGATTCTACCCTTATTTATTGCTTTTTATTTTATTATAAATTTTAAATTTAAAAGATTTGAATCTTTAATTTAAATTATATTCATTCAATTATTGTGGGTCCCGTTTATATTTGTATATATGGGGATATATTGTATATGTGTATATATCTTATATGTGTATATATCTTATAGTTATATATACATAAGATATGATACTAATTTTTTGTTGTCTCAAATATATATTTTCGGGATATATTGTATATGTGTATATATCTTATATGTGTATATATCTTATAGTTATATATACATAAGATATGAAACATGATTAAGTTCTACTAAGATTGGTACCATATCTTATGTACTAATAACTATAAAATATATACACATGTAAGTTATATACACATATATACAAAACCGAACGAGAAGACTAATACCTTATTATTGGTGTAAACGGAAAGGGGACCGTAGACGAGGAACCCACTGCTCGACGCTGGAAAGGAGAAGCAATTCAGCAAGAATATGTCGCCTGAAATGTTGTTTGCCGACGGAAAATGAAGGTTTGAAACGTACGAAGACGGAAAATGGGATATAACTGAAGCAGGCGTACAATGACGGAAAATGAGACAGGGAACGTACAAAGACGGCGTTGGAGACGGAAATTGAAGCAGACGAAAGGAAACTTACCAATATAGTGGCCGACGAACACGGCAGCGTCAGACAACGAGCGACGAACGATTACAAAACTCAGAGACRGCAATAGACGGAGGAAGCGAAAAAGTCTCCGATTTCGAATTTGAGGATTTTTAAACGGGATTTGGGGGATATTTTGGGAGGTTTTCAAATTTGGGGAATTTAGGGTTTTCTTTTTTTAATGTTTTGGGTTTTTAATTTGTTTTGGAAAGTATCATTAAGCTAAAATTATGGGATCCAAATTATAACCTTCCAATTAATCAATTTTGCATGAATTTAAAATTAATTTGTAGATACAAGAGGATATTTATGTGATGGGTACCCTCTTAAGGTTGTTTCATGACAAATGTCTAAATTCTATACATTCCATCCTTTTATGTAATTAGGATCTTTAAATAGCTGATCAATGTACTAATCCTTTTTTATTTTGTTTCCCATTCTCAACACTTTACCCACCACAGAAGGAAAAAAAAACACATTTTCTCTCTCTTATTTACTCCAAAAAACCTAAAATTTTTCATCTATATCTCCATGAGCCTACCGATTACCACATACTTTTTTTCTCTTCTTAATTCACCCATAAACCCTAAAATCTATCATATCTATCTTCAATGAGAAGCCATTTCCTCCCTTTTTTCCCTAAGTGAATCTCACTTCAGATCTCTTAGATCTGTTTCCTTCTCGCTTTGATCTGTCTCGCTCTAGGTATACTCTCGCTCTCGTCTTACTTTCGCTCTTTTTCTCGTTCTTATTCTAGCTCTTGTTTGTTCTCGTTCTTACTCTCGCTCTCGCTCTCGATGCGTTCTCGTTCTCACTTTCGATGCATTCTCGTTCTCGCTCACGATGCATTCTCGCTCTTGCTCTTGGTGCACTCTCCCTTTCGACCCAAGTACTTGACCCTGTTTATAATCATAAATCAGTAAACTTTTTATTTTATTTTTCTTTGTTGCAAATATCCAAATAAAAAAATTTAATTATATTTTCTAATAACATAAAAAAATTAAATTCTTTTTCGAATTTCAAATTATAGAATTTAAAACCATATTTTGGACTTTCAACGACAAAAGATTAGTATCATTTATTTATTAATGGTGTTATGTATCACCAAGGTTTTAAATGTTGACGTCGATGAAAATGTCAATGTCTTAATTTCATGGAAATGTGAATGGAAATAATCGATAAAATATCGATGCCGATAGATAGTTCTATAAATGTTTGGAAAATTAAAAAATTATAAAAAATATTTAAATTAACAAATAAATATTTTTCTATTTCTAAATAAATTAAAATTATTAATATTGATATTAGGTATATATTAGTGATATTTTATTAATATTTTTTCTATTTTGTAATAGAATGGAATGTCGATTTATCGCTATATCGATGTCGAAACTATGAATACATGGAAATATCTATGGACATGATGACCTATTTGCATGGGCCGCACGTATCGTTTGTATTTACCCATTTCAAAATATTATTAGAAAACATATAAGATATATAAACTCATAATATATATAGTCCCAAATTTCCCTGCCAAAGCTTCAAAGTCCATCCCCCATTTGCGCGCAAGGTAACTGTAATTCGCAACTGAAAAGCTTCTAGCTCAGAATAATGGATTGCATATTCTCGAGCTCTATCGTCTCTTCCATTATGGTGAAAGGAAATGGAGGAATCAGCTGCCAGATTTCGATGGCTCGTTTCATGGCGAATGCCAGAAGACGACTGCCCAAGAACCTTCTCAATCCACGACGGACCAAGCTTCCCCCTGATCCCGGCGTCAATCAATTCTTGAAGAACACAACCTCCGGCTCTGGCCCCTCCTTCACAGATTTCACTTCCAGCGAGAAAATCGAGTTTCCCGAGGAAGAACACGACGACCACGAAGAAGCTGACACTGAGAATTATTTCGTCGATGATAAGGACGGTGAAATTATTTGGGATTCGGATGAAATTGAAGCTATTTCATCACTCTTCCAAGGCAGAATCCCTCAGAAACCTGGTAAGTTGAACCGGGAGAGGCCTCTTCCGCTCCCACTTCCTCACAAGCTACGACCACCAGGACTTCCTAACCCTAAAATCCGAGCAAGAACGGGCGTTCCTTCGCGTGCATCGCTATCTAAGCAAGTCTACAAGCGCCCCGATTTTCTTATCGGCCTTGCCAGAGCGATTAGAGATCTGTCTCGGGAGGAAAATGTGTCCAAAGTTCTCAATAGGTGGGCTCCGTTTTTGCTGAAGGGGTCCCTGTCATTGACGATCAGGGAACTGGGTCATATGGGTCTCGCCGATAGAGCTTTACAGTCGTTCTGTTGGGCGCAAGAACAACCTCGACTCTTTCCAGATGATCGTGTTTTGGCCTCAACCGTTGAGGTCCTCTCGAGGAACCATGAACTGAAAGTACCACTGAACTTGGAAGAGTTCACTAGACTGGCTAGTCGTGGTGTGCTCGAGGCGATGATAAGAGGGTTTATCAAAGGTGGGAGCTTAAACCTTGCTTGGAAGCTTCTTGTAGTTGCCAAGAAGGGTAATAGAATGTTGGATCCCAGCGTTTATGTGAAATTGATATTGGAGCTAGGGAAGAACCCTGATAAAAACATGCTGGTACTTACCTTACTGGATGAACTAGGACAAAGAGAAGCCTTGAAATTAAACCAGCAAGACACAACAGCTATCATGAAGGTCTGCACTAGGCTTGGTAAATTTGAAATTGCAGAGAGACTTTATGGCTGGTATGTAGAATCTGTACATGAACCTAGTGTGGTTATGTACACTGCTTTAATTCATAGTCGCTACTCAGAGAAGAAATATAGAGAGGCATTATCTGTGGTGTGGGAAATGGAGGCTGCAAACTGTCCTTTTGATCTTCCTGCTTATAATGTAGTGATAAAGCTTTTTGTTGCTCTTGGTGATCTCTCAAGGGCTGCTAGATACTTTGCAAAGCTTAAGGAAGCTGGTTTTGCCCCTACATATGACATATATAGGAATCTGATTACCATTTATTTAGTTTCAGGGAGGTTAGCAAAGTGTAAGGAAATTTATAAGGAAGCCAAGAATGCAGGATTTATTATTGATAAACAAATTACTTCGAGGCTGTTGCAATGTGCAAGCAGAAAGATGATACGTTCCTAGTAAGAGATTTATTACAAATCACTGAAATGTCTCTTGTGCTTGTATATTTTTTTTTTATCATTCGCTTATCATTATATAATTAGAAGGAGACTTGTTTCAAGAGCATTGCAAATGAATTTTGATCAAGACTGGCGGACCGACAATAGATCTGTCATGGTGTTCTGAGCCTCCCAGCTATGAGCTAACCTCTTTGTTCGCTCTTTTCTACCACATTCAAACTGATGCTTCTGATTGCTTCAATGGACAAAATGTCATGCGTACGATGTTCTGGGTGGCTCTGAGGCTGGGTGCATGTGTGTTGTTTCAATATGGAAAATTTACTTACTGCCTTCTTATTGATCATTTTTTGGCAACATGCCAACATTACATCCATGGATTTCAATAGTACATCTTTAAATACACATGGATCTATGCCTCAGCATACATATTACCTAGACAACCTCTTCTGGACTAATAAGGTATATTAAACCAATGGAAGGGTTTTTGTAACCTCCATTTGCCTTTGTATATTTCAATACATTAATGAAATCTGTTTCTCTTCCAAAAAAAACCTGGCTCGTCTGTGCTGATTTTGACATCTACTGACCAGCAATCCTTATTCAAGTCTGACTTCTATTCTGTTATCAGTACTATCTAGTTCCATTGTTCAATGCGGTAACTCAGAGTTTTTTCCTTCCATGTATCATTGTCTAGATAAGTCTCATAAAATTTTACATTTCCCGTTGCAGATATTGTCAAGACAGTTGTGCTCCTGGTACCGAAACTTCCCCGTATGTTGAAAAACTAAAAAGATAATGAAAAAAAATTGCATCAAAATTCCAGCAATGGATGAAATAAATGTGTATGCTTACCTGTGAGGTCTGAATTTGGACAAAGATGGGGCTCAAATCTAACTCCCAGTCAAGGGAGCATATGTGGGGCAGTTTGCTTTCATCAGCTTTGACTGTGTCCCTCATTAATCTCTCAATCATCTCTTTCACAGGTATTTCACCTCCATCACATTTATGAAGCTGTTCGTTAAATTTTAGCCTCAGGCGTTGTGCCTGCAGGTAAGTTGAATCACTCAGTCCATTCAGGCTACTCACTCTCTTATTGTTCTTAGCTCTTCGTTGTTATTTCTTTTCCATGTCTTTTTCCCTTTTGGAATGTGCATTTTTGTTATATGACTTGAAGAATTTTAAGATTACAAGTTACGCACCTTATGCCAAGGGGAATCAAGCTCTGCATTGGAAAGCACATGTAAACCAGGAGGAACCTCCTGGATGACAATGCGATCCCCTTCTGATCTGTTGGAGATGTAAACCATGGTGTTTGAAGAAATGTCAGCTACTACCAGGTTAAACCCATTATACTGGTATGCTTCTGCCCTTATCTCCTCTGCAAATTCCTTTGGGCTCTTTCTGCTCTGTTATTTCAATATTCTATGTTAATGAGGGGGGATATAGATAGGCCCCCAATTATAAATGTATATAGAAGAAAGAGGGTAAAAGAGGGAGAGAGTTTTGAGTGTAGGCACTTTAGTTAGGTAATGAGGTCAAGATGGGCCGTTAAATACGCATACTAGCCAGCTAGGGGAGGGCATCCTGTGTCTATTCTGGTTATTGGAGAGGCAGGAGCTCCTAAAACCTCCGCTGGCAATATACTTCTCAGCTTATCAACAGAGAAGTTCTATAATATTTGTAAGTGGCTTCAACCATATGGTCCTAAGATAGAACCTGGATTGAAAGCAACTTTAACAACAAGGTGTGTTTAGTATTGCTTTCATAAGAAGTGTTTTTCTAGTCAAAATTACTTTTAATTTATGGTAAATAATTTAATAAAATGTGGCATTTTATTGTTTAGTTTTAAATTTAATAATTTAAAATTTTAGAAGTGCTTTTTCTTTTTTATATTCGTGAGTGAGTCCATGTCAGAGCTAATTTATGGACGCCTCTACTAATTTTACTAGGTGGTCACTGTAGGCTTGAACTCATTCCTCCAAAGTTCTTTTATGTTTTTTGCATGCTCCAGTACCACTGGACCAATCTAGAGTGGGTTTTAAGTGTTTTTAAATAATTAATATTTACTTAGAAAATCACTAAAATGCAAATAATCAAAGAGACTAGCGAGAAAGAGCAGAGAGAAGTTAGTAGGAGAAAATGTGTCAGAAAAAGAAGTTAGTGAAATAACGTATGTGTAGAAAGTAATTAGAAAAAAGAAGTTAGTGAAATAACGTTGGTGTAGAGAGTAATTAGAAAAAAGATATAGGTTTCATGAAAAATTAAAACCCAAGCCAATAAAACTTGAGCAAAGTCATTTTTTTTTTAAATTTTTTTATATAAGAAACCGAACTTTTCTTTAAGATGAATGAAAATAGAAGCAAATACAAAGGGCATACAAAAACAAAAGTCCAGGAGTTGGAGCTCTAACTAAAGGAAGTGCTTCTAATCCAAAAGAATAGAACCTAACTAAACGTTTTGTGTGCAAAGCGTCTTCAAAAGCATCTCCCAACCACATCTTTGAAAATCACTAATAAAAGTGCTATTGAATTGTAGCCAAACATAAATTTGTGAGGTAGAAAGCAGTTCTAAACTTTTATAAATTATAGCCAAGACCAAAACTTTATTTTATCATTTGAATTGATTTATGCTGGAGATCAGTAGTTTATTAAACAATGAAATATGATGTGCTATATAACCTGCAGAAAAAGAAGGGGAAGATTCCCACGGCTTTTGGCCTCAGGAAGGGTGTGAAGCTCCAGCACATTAGTAACAAATGAAACCCTGCCTTTCCTTGAACAAGCTAACCAAGTCCCACCCGCAACCTCGTCTCTCCCTCCAGCTATCTCACCATCCTCCCACCATGACGCCGGTCTCGTAGGCCTGTAGGGAACCTCATATGCACATCCTTTTAGTTATACACATTCACAATTGATATTGATTATTAGGGGATAGAGAAAATATAAACTTGCCTGTTGAGTAATTCATCTCTGTTGTGCAGGAGAATGAGGGAGTAAAGCGGATGAGACTGCCAAAGAAATGCTGCAATACACATGGTTTCCTGAAAAGTATGAACCGGGAGAAGTTTGAAGCTTTGCTTTTATGGTAAGAACTAAGAACAAAACTTGGCTGGGTGACCACTATACTATATGTTTGAAAAAATATGAAATTGCTGTTCTATGTAGCAAATATTTAGTGGTCAAAAACAACTTTAGCTTGCTAATTTGTCAATGGCAAAATTTTATTTAGGAGTGAATTATCGAATCACAATAACGTGTTATATATGATAGCTGTTTGAATAGCATGCTTTAGAGAAGAGGTAGCTAGGGTCTACTTTAATTTTGTGTAGTCCTTTTCTTGAAGGGGACATAAAACACATTGTCCCACTTTTGTGAAATAATAAATAATAGATAAATAATAGACAAATCCTAGTAATCTTAAATAAATTATAATGAGTACTTTTACCGAGTAATTTTTAAAATATAGGAAGAGACAGACAATATAAATATAAAAAGTAATCTTCGACGGAACTAACTTTAGTCAATTTCACCTGTAATTAGTTTTGACAAAGTGTCTGTGTTGGACACAGATACGTTCGGACATGCTCCGGACACGTGTCCGACCCGCGAAATAACATGTCTTCTTTTTTTATTATATTTTTTATTTCGGACACGGGGCAGACACGTTATAGACATGCTGCAGACACGTCAATCACCTGGCTTTGAAAATGTTTAACACCTTTACTCACGAAGGAAGACGAACAGGAAGAAAACGAAGAAAAGTATTGCTGGCTTTGAACACGTTTTAAGGCGCCCACTTTACTCATGAAGAAAAAGATGAAGAAAAATAAAGAAGAGGAGGAATGGGAAGAAGAAGAGTTTGGAAGCAGAGAGAAGAAGATGAATAAAAATAAAGAAGATGAAGAATGGGAAGAAGAAGAGTTTGGAAGCAGAGAGAAGAAGATGAATAAAAATAAAGAAGATGAAGAATGGGAAGAAGAAGAGTTTGAAGCAAGAGAGCAGCGAAGAAGAAATGTTGGAGGAGAAAAGGAAGGGTTGGGAAGAGGAAAAGGCACAATAGAAATAGTATAAAAATAAAACCCAAAAAAGAAAAATAATAGACGGAGAATTAGAAAAGTCTAGTAGCACCTAATGGTGGTTGCATGAAACTGCAAAATGGCAGAATACCTCCTATCGGGAAAATTGCAAAAACCACCCTTTAACTATGATACAATTTTACCCATAAACGTTCAATGGTAAAAATTAAACCCTCGAACTTTTAAAAATGAAAAAATTATACCCATAAACCTTTTAGAGTTAAAATTAAACCTTTAAATTTTATAAAATGAAAAAATTGACCCCTCAACTTTTAATGGGTAAAATTTAAACTCTCAAATTAAAAAAAAAAAAATATATATATATATATATATCTATATTTTGAACCTATTTTAAAATTCACCCTCAAATTAAACAAACTCTACCGGAAGACTTCTCTTCTACCTCAAAGTTTAGGGGTCTAATTTTTTCATTTATAATAGCTCGAGGGTTTGATGAGGGGATTTGAACTCACAACCAACGAAGTATATGTCAATTACCGCTGAGCTATGCTCGCTTGGTTTTAATATTAATAATTTTGTAATATTTTTATGCTTTGATCAGGGAGTAATTATTTTTTTTCTTTTATCTATTTTTAAGTTAAAAGTCAATATATACACATATTTTCTAAAAAAAATTAAGAAAAAATAACGTGTCCTCACATATCCGTGTCCTACATTTTTAAAAATTGGTGTTCGTGTCTGTGTCCTGTGTCCGTACTTATTAGGTTTGGTCAAATCCTAGTAACATCCTCTCTTGGAGCATCTCCTTGAGGAGGGTATAGTGTTCAGGACAACGATATCTCTCATACTCCAAGTATCTCTACAATTGTTTGATATTGTCCGCTTTATTACAAATCTCGTGACTTTATTTTTGGTTTCACCCAAAATGCCTCATACCAATTGAGATAATTGCCTCATCTATATAGCATGAATCACTCTCTCCCCTAACCGACGTGAAACTTTGTTTGCACACTTTACAATCCCAACATATAGATCTCTGAGGTCTAAGGTTGATTTTGGTGATAGTGTTTATGTAGAAGAAAGATCCTTAGGAGTTAGTTGACATTGCTGTGGTACCAAATAAGATTTCTCGAGGAAGAGAGCAAGAAGTAAATTCTCCTGAGTGTACAAAAGTACTTAGTAGGTCTGATTAAATACTGTTAATTGGGAGTTTGTGTTGTTCATTTAGACTGAGGATAGGATTGACCATGAATTCACGATATAGGATTCTTGTAGGATGGTCGTGGGATGTGAGCCTTTAACCTCCTCCATAAAAAATTATCTACAATGTTAATGCAAGAATTTGGATGTTGTTCTATTGGTTAAGGATATGTAACTTAAGTTGGCACTCTAATCAACTTTCCTCATACTGCTAGAGGTGAGAAGGGTCTTCCTATGAAGTTAACCCTAGAATGGTTCAGATCTTTTTTTACGATATTGCTGTTACATTGGGCTGCATTTTCATATTTTTAGAGCGTTAATCCAAGTAATATTCAACTTTTAAATATTATATTACCAATCCTCAGTGGCTAAGGCACCCATTACCTTAAGGTGGAGGCTGGACCTCAACTCCCACCATGGTTGAATTCAAAAAACAAAAAAGAAAAAGCTTAATTGTTGGCGAGTTTGGTTTTGATCCATTAGTATGTCTATTCATGAAGGGATTCCTTTAACACCTCACATGGCCAACTATGGTAGGCAGAGAGTCCAAATTAGTAATTATACCCCATCCAAAGATCATAAAGGAGACCAAAACATTGGAAAGGCCACTTCTTCATAAAGGGCATAGGCGAGGCAGTGTATGCAAAAAAAGGGGGGGAATAGCATCAAACCATACATGTTTCTCAGAAATTAAAAATAAGAAACAAAAAATGAAACCGTTTATATTAGAAAACGTACCAATATCAACTAAGCTTACCAATTGTGGAGTAGTATTAGCAGAGTTGAAGGAAACTGTGTTCGTGTAAATCAGAAATGGAACTGGAACTGGAACTGAATCAGTGGGTTGTTTTGGTTTGATTTGTATGTTTTGCAGTCGGTTTGTGAGTGAAGCTGATTTTGACACGCAATGTTATTAATACATCTCTGGATTGAATCAAATATGCCATTTGCAGATGCTAGAAAACGTCTCGTTCTTATCCCAAAGGCAGCTGGTTTTGAAAAATGTGGAAAGGTGCTGCGGTTTCATGGTGGGTTTAGTCCATAATTGCAGATGTTGAGAAAAATATGTTTGTGGAAATGCCTGTGGGCGGCTATATTTGTGAATAAAATTCAATAGTTTTTATATGTGAAGGTTGATGTTTAGACAAGAGGTGCTAGAAGACTATTGGAACCAGGCATGCATAGGTATCCTAGTAAGATTATGACATTCTAAAATTACCTGAGATGGATAAACAATTCGAAGTGTTTTTCTTGTGTATTCCTATTTGTAGGTCATTGTGATATGCAGGAAGGGAAGGACGCATAAAGATTCCACTGACCTGTGTGCTCTTTGTCTACAATTGCATAGATGAATTTGCTGGGTGGGTTGTTGCTCCTTTAGTGGGAAGAGGTTCTTGATTCAATATTTCATGAGTTTAGATTTGCCTTTGCTGCTTCTTACAATGTTTTTAAAAAGTAGATAACGAAGCAAAGAAACATTCTTGAGCAGTAGATAACAAAGTAAAGAAAGACATGGATAGAAGTAGTATTTATAAGCTCAATTTTCATTTGATAATAATTACATTTTTAGTTTTATGTTTCTATATAGGTTCTCCTTGTCCAACAATAATAATAATAATAATAATAATAATAATAATAATTATAATAATCTTGTTCAAAATATATGTTTCCCCTCCATTTTTTTAACGTGATTAATTAAATTCTTTGCGTCAACCTGAGTTTAGTCCGGCAGTTACGTCACTTTGCTCCTCCATACATACGTGTTGGAGGTTTCAATTTCTATCTCCACATTTTTTGTACTAAAAACCTTTTCTGTGCCAATTTCAAAATAAAAATTACTTTTTCTTAGTTTTTAAAATTTACCTTAGATTTTGGAAATGCTTTTAAAAAGTTTATAACAAAGCAAAGAAATATTTTCAAAAAGTAAATAACAAAGAAAAAACATATAAGTTGAAGTAGTGTTTATAAATTAAGACCCCATTTGATAATGATTCCATTTTTAAAAATTATTCCAGCTCTCTCAATTATTATAATTATTTTTTTTATCATTTCCAATATTATTCATGCAAACATGTTTTAATTCTTTTTCAAATTTCAAAAAACAAAAACAAATTTTTGAAAACTATTTTCAAAATTTGCCTTAGCTTTTGAAAGTATTTTTGAAAATAGATAATAAAGGAAAAAGGTCGTCTAAAAAAAAAAGAGAGATAAAAGTAGTGTTTGTAAACTAAAATTTCAAAAAAATAAAATTAAAAATCAAATGGAGCCTAAATAAGACGTGTTTGATATAAGAGTCGTGGTTGGGTTGAAATAACTTTTGAGGGCTAATGAAGAGAATTCAAATGGAACTTTTGTATCACAAGGAAAAAAATCTACCTCAAATGATCGTGTGATGCTGATGGCTGATATTCAATATTCATAGAAGAGGTGCTACAGCACTGCTGGAACTAGGCATTGATAGGGATATTAGATTCGCGACATCTTCTAAACTCACTTCCAAACATGCTTTTAGTCTATAATTACATTGATGATTTGAGTTAACGTTCGTCCATGCAATATTTTATGGGTTTAGTGTTCCGTTTTTTAAAATTATGTTTACTTTCTCTCAATTTTTTTAAGTACGTTTTTTACCATCACAAATACATTTGAGAACTACTTTTTTAGTTCGATTTGAAAAACATTTTTCAACCGTAGACAACAAAGAAAATAGATTTTTCGACCACTCCTTGAGCTATCAATTAAATCGACTCAGATCTGTTTTTTTGGTTATGCAAAATTTAAAGAAATCTTAATTTACAATTATTCTAGAATAAAAGTCATAAAATCACAAAACAACAAAACTAAGGATCTAAACATGGAAGAAACCCAAAAAAATCTTTAATAATATTAGAATTACCTAGAACCTTTAGATAGATTTATCTGACCTGCAAGCAGTTGTAGTTTGTGGCATTCCTCAACTGTGCAACCCGGACCAAATATAGGCAATACTCTCTGTTTATTTGATGGGGAACAGTAGGCTCAAGAAACATAGTGTATTGGAGACCATAACCATTTATAGTTAATCCTAGGGTTTCCCATAATCCCCTAATTAATGGGCTGGTTTCTACTCGCAACACCACTAAATGGAAAGTCATGGACCAATAATCAAGATCTCTCATATGCCCATTAAATAAGCCAAATATAATTGTTTTTTAATTTGTTACCCACATATGAATTAATTATTAAATTAATTTCAACAATCTCCCACTTGGATTACAATTTTCTTTAGTAACAATTATATTAATTTATTCTTTAGTGCACAACTCAATGCTATTAAAATAAACTTCACTTTAATAATAATATGGTCAATCTTGCATATCGATGAGGAACCAAAGCGGCTTTTGTCAGATTTATAGTCGCGACTCAACCTTCAATGATCACCACACCAAATATACCCAATGACATGGATCAAGCGTTGAAGAGCAGCATGAGAATTACATGTAATGTGATCTAAACATGTTATTCCCAACTGGTCCAACTTTATTATTTAAAGAGATCAAAATTTATGCTTTCTAACTTTATGTTAAACTACATTTAGAAAGAAAATCATTCAGAGTGACAAAATAAACCATCTTCTTTATTCTGTAGAAAAGAAAAAACCACATGTCTAATTTAAGAAAACACAAACTCCCAGTCAACTGACATACTATAATTTTCACATCTATATGAGAATTATGCTCGTAAAACTTTTGTGAAAGTCTTAATGAGCAGATCCGCAATGATGGAGTTGTATTTCTTTAAACAAAAATACTCTGAATTTTCTTTATCAATTTAAGCTTAAATATTCATACAAAAGCTTTTGTTGTTGTAATGTGGAAAAATACAAATCTTTATCAAAACAACCTAATGACAAAATTTGACAACCATATTCTTAAGTTTGTTGCCACATACAAAATGCTATGAACACAAACTTTAGTGGTGAAAGGGACTAAAGTGATTCTCTACCACGAGATAGTAGTATCCTTTAACCTATTAGTGAATATAGCCACAAAGGTGGATCTAGATGGCAACTCAAATTATCAAAATCAAATAGTCTTATGATCTCTAATTAATATGATTTTGATGAGTGAGCATGTAACCTTTTTGTTAAGGACCTTACAACTCTTTAGATCCAATTAAAAGTTATCTAAAATTGCGTTTCATTCTTGATATGAATACAACGGAAGCATATAGACTTTAAGCATGAATTTTTTATTTTACTTTATTATTCAAGGGACTTCTATTGAAAGTGAGTTTGTCTCCACTAGTGATTTCAATATTCTCTAGTGCATAATCTTTATGCTAGAGTACTTGCAATACCTTTCAACATAGTTCTTTTGTGAATTCTCAATGTTATTTGAGATTGATCTTACAATATCATTTTACAATATAAAAGAGATATGTTCATGCAAGTTTTCATCCTCTAACAATACTTTTATTATGTCACAGACATATTATACTAGGAAAATAAATGTACTCTTACTAAACCTGTAATTTATAATTATTACTCTTATTACACAATTAAGAAACCAATCTTTATATTCATCTAACACAACTCAAAAAAGTAATAAGTATTGTCAATTACTTGAACTTTTCGAGAAGTCATAGAAAATATCTCTAAAAATTAATGTCAGCCTTAAGAATTGAAACCCATAACAACTAGATGAGTCTTATATTTGTTAACATTGTCTTTTAAAAGCAATATAACAAAATGTAAAATATCTCAGTTGTTTGGTGTTTCAACAACATTCATTTTTCCTTTCAAGAGATAAGACTTTGTTTGACGATAGAGAATATACTCTTTTATCAAACTTAAATCTTTATTATCATATTTCTTATATCTCTTTTACTTACTTTAATGACATTTTTAATTATGTTGAGTTTGTTTTACTAAAATGAGGAGAATCTTTATTCTTTACTAATATTGTTATAAAGAGAATATAACTAAATTTCTCTTAAATACCACATTCTTTACTGAGAATATAATTAAATTTCTGTTAAGTACCACATTCTTTACTGAGAATATAACTAAATTTCTCTTAAATACCACATTCTTTACTTTATCTTCTCCCAAACTCAACATCCTTAAGAAACTTTAAGATCTCATTCACATCAACTTTAAGTGGGAACTAACTTTAGAAATATATATTGAAAAGACTAGTGTATCTAAAGTGACAACTAAAAACGTAAAGTCCAAATCTCGTAAAACCTTAAATTGCAAGTGATTTTAGTTGTTTCTTTATTTGGTACACCACTTTTTTATAACAATCTTGAGTGTTTTTTCTCCAAATACAGTGAGGGTAAGGAAAAATGATTTGTCATATTTCTTATCACACTTTTTTGAGCTTTGAATCATTTTATAAGCAACATACATCTCAGGTTTGCCTGAAAATATATATTACTTATTAGCTCTATAATCCTTAAAGGAATTAGCAAATGACTTAGGCCTTATCTTTTCAATCCATCATATTTCCTAACGATTTCATTCACTACGAATTGATATATGATGACTTTTAAGATATCCAGGAATAAAGACCTCTCTTATATCAAATATCGGTGTTCTTAATGAGAGTAAATTTCTTATAACTTTATGCAATGTTGTTAAACATTTAATTAAGCCATATTGAATATGCTATAAATTAATGTTCTAAAATACTAAAGCTCTCAATAGCACCTAATTTGACAATTCTAGTTATGTCCCCTTGATTATTCCTAATACAAACTTGAATGTCTGATTAATCTTAAGAACCAACAAGCAATGAATAGAAATATCAAAGTCTATTCAACACATAAGATAAATTTTCATATGCAAGTCTAGCTTGATAAATATCCTAAGTGAGAAGCCAAATTTTCTTTATACCTCGTGTGACATTGTATTTGGAACATATTTTTTTCCATATGTTCAAATTTCCCAAAAATATCAAGATAAGTCCTAAGCTTAATTCTTTTGTGGGTTAGGCGAACATATGTTCCAAATAAACCTTAGTACCAACTTTAATTTCTTTCTTTAAGGAAATAATTAATTAAAGTGTACATTATGTATTTTCTTACTTAACTCATTTTCCTTAAAACATATGGTCAGAAATTAGGTTATTAAGAGTTTAATATCTACCCTTATGACTATCATAACCCACTACATAATGACTGTATAATTCTCAAATAAGTATCAAATACACAAGTAAATCCTTGACTATTTTAAATTTAGTGGATCTCATCATCTAATGTACCTCTAGTGA